TAACAAAGAAGTTTATGGAAATGTTTTGAACATTCATAAGTGTTAACGATGGTTCAGCAAATTTCTTGCAGGTAACTTTAGCCTTAAAAACTGTGATGACAGGGGGCCGACATGTTGGAATTGATATTGATGCTCAGAAGATGCCTGTTGAGTGTAACCCAAAGCAACACACTCATGAAATGGCCCTGAAATTGCATGTCTCTCATGAAACAATACTTAAACATCTAAGGAATATGGAAAAACTCCGTAATGAAGGTGTTTGGGTGCCTCACGAACTCTCTGATGATCATCGTTTCCAAAGTGTGAACGTTCCTTCGTCTCTTCTGGTGCATAATGTGCGTGAACCATTTTTGGACAGAATTGGACAACCTGATTGAAAGATGGAAAAGCATTATCGATAAGAATGGAGACTATTTCATGTAATAAATGTTTTGTTATATATATGTTGTTCAGGTTTTTTCATCTAAAAAAAAGCAACGTTAATTTCTTGACGACCTAATACATTTCCAGATGCTGCCAGGTGTTGGTTGATTGACTCTGTTAGGGTGTCCCTTATGCATTGAAATACAATATCATAACACATCATAAGGTCATGTTACACACACTGGGTGTTCCACAGAACTACTCATAGGTATTTCTCACAGTTTGTTGCCTCATAAATATGTTTGTCCTGGACTGTATGCTCGTGGACTAACATGAATGAAGTAGACTAGGATTATTGCCCATCTCAGTTGGTCCATGGCATTGAGGCTCTTCTTACTGCAGATTTGATGTACAATTCCAGATGCCACCAGGTTGGTTGATTGACTCACTTGACGTGAAATAGGGTATTATGGTGACCCATTACACTGTTTCTGGTGCTGTGGTCCTCCGGACTCTCCAGCACATTTTTTCCATTTTTCTTCTAGTGGTGTATGGGAATCCTTGCCACTGACCAGTTCGTAGCTGCTGGGGTGGTATACCTTGGAGAGCTGCCCTCCTGAATGTGCACAATACCACTCAGTTGAGAGTAGGGTGGTGGTATTCTGCTGGTGTTGATGGCACAATGTCTTTTCTGCTGTGGACTTGATGTATAATTCCAGATGCTGCCTGGTGTTGAACATATATTGCAGTTTGCCCCTCCAGCTGAGGGTTTCCAAGGGTTGGGTGTTGTTTGGAGCCGGACTAGCATTATAAGTCCTCCTTCTGAGGACTGGACGATAAATTCCCAATGCTGCCAGGTTTTGGACTGGAAAGGAACACCCACCTGGGATCTCTACCTTCCTACATCTGCCAGTGGATCTGGTGTTGGTTGTATTGGAGATGCATGCATAAGAATGTGGTTTCTTGATATGAAAGCTCCTCTTCCCTGCCATTCCCCTTTTCTGAGGTGAAAGGTAGAGGACTCTCTTCCTACTATGGACCTGATGTACAATCTCAGATGCTACCAGGTTTTGGTTTAGGTCAAACTCTCACTTATGGTCTGTCACACCCTAGCCACTCTACACCAGGGGATCCCATTATTTCTGTAATTTTTTCTTTGGTCCCTCCATGTTTCTGCCCTTTTTTAGCAACACATTACTAAAGGGCAAAAAAAGTATACCTGGCTCAGAATGGTGTGGTTTTCCACAGGTATGTTGTTTTCAATTCTTTCTCACACCCCATGGTTTTCCTTTAGGTGCTTCCTAAATGGAAATCATCTTCTCACAGGCCCTCCACCTGTTCAATGTGGGGTTCTAGCTTTTTGTGAGAGGAGGTAAGATATTGTACTGAAAATATATTTCCATTAGATACTTACCTCTGCTTACATTTCCCACCCATTCTCCTCAGGTTAACCGTTGAAACATCTGATGCCAGTGTGTTTGGTGTGGTACAGAACCACACAACTGTCATGTTCAGGTGGCAACTTTTACTGTTCAAACATCTAATGTGTTTGGTATGGAGATATTCACCACTGTGGTGAATTTGTCCTTTTCTAACATTTTAGTAGTTTGGCTTATAAACAAGATGTGTCAGAATCTCCTGTACTGATTTTGCTGGTGAACGACAAGCAAGTGATAGAACAATGCAATGCAGTGAAGTATTTAAACTATATTTAACTGTTTCTTCCAAACCTCGGGAGATTATATGACAAAGATAAACACCTTTGCTGTATACATGAAAACTTTATGTATAGAGCTGTTGAGGCTCAGTTGTTATTAGTCCTTTTTTTCTCTCTAGCTTTTAGAGCTTATCATGTTAAACAAGTATCATAAAAAACTAAATATTTATGAATTTAAATCCCAAGGTTTCTGTGTTATTTTGTATTGCTTGCAACATGAGAAATTTGTTAGGTGACTTAAATTTCATCAAGAAAAACTTAGACTGTGTTTATTATTAAAGTTTATTTTTTGAAGTGGGGTAACCTCATACAGATGCTGCAAAGTTAAAGAATGAATAAAGTTAAAAACACTCATTTTGATCTGCCTTAGGTTTCTGCTCGGTCACCAGGCACCAGTCCAGTCCTGTTTGCTCGCCCCCAAGGAATGAGCGTGTTTTCTGGTCCTACTGTTTGGACTTCGTATCCTGCCATTACATTGGCAGCTTCATACCCATTGACTTCAGGTTTGTACAGTCAGACAACAAGTGTCACAACATTCCCAAACAGCAGCAGCAATGGGAGTCTTGACCAAATTTGGGTCAGTGCCCAAGATATGCGAGGAAATATGAACCCTAGTCATTCAACAGGAACCCTCCATATGACCTCAAATGCAATTCCTCCAGTCACATCCTTAGCAAATGGAGGCCTACCAATTAATGGAAAAGCTGAAAAGGTATGGAGTTAAAGACATTTTCAGTATTCTATAATTTGAATATACTAATGATCACCAAATGGTTTTATAGCTTTTTCTGAATGATGAAAGCTTTGTTTTATACTTGTTGATGTAAATCATACACTATTGCTTTTATGTTTTTATCAACATTTACAGTAGTAGTAGGATTATTTTATATATATACTTTTTGTCTTGTTTCCTTTTTTCTTGCAGTTAGTTAACCAAACACATAACTCAGAACTTTCTTGTGCAAATCACTGCAAAAAGTTTAATTTGTATGTCTGAAATAAGCAAGTAACATGAATATTACTCTCAAGGTCAACATTGAAATTAAAACTAAATGTGCTTGATTATTGAAAGTTGTTAAGTTACTGATCAGAATTTTGGTCCAATATATTTTGAATTTAATGAAAATTAATAGGAATTATAAAAAAACAATGTAACCAATCAAAGAATAGCAATGTTTCCTTGAGGTAATATTGCTGTAAGTAGTTTTCTTGCCATAATTCTTTGAAAAAGATAAAACAGTGTGTTTAAGAAAACCAGTTAGGCTTGAATGTTATGCAGTAAGTACCAGTGCACATTATTTTTAAGAATTATAAACCTATCAAATTATCGAGGTAGTTTAAATATGAACTTTTGTAAGTGTTTAAAGTGGAGAAATGATTACTTGTACAGGATAAGTACATGGGCTTTACGTTACAATTATGTAATCTGGGAGATCATCTTAACCTGGTGTCTAGGATTACATGCTTGGCATTTGTAAATATACTAATTAATTATAGAAACCTACACAATTATTCGTTCTTATTTATAAGTTAAACAGAGCTTAAGCAGCTAATTGTAAGTTGAAATGATTTAGTTAAGCTGTGGTCTCTGTTTATGAATAGGCAGGCTCTCTGTTATACAAAAGCATTATTTGCTACTGGCCATAACCTTAATGAGTGGCTATGTAGCAGTCTCATAAAGCTTACTTCAGTATGTTTCATCTGTTCAAATTTGCTTGTTCTTTTACAAATCTTTGCCATCTCTTAGTGGTTTTGACATACTTTGTGTGCAGCCTGGACAAGTAAACTGATAAACTGTTTTCAGTGTGATATTCTGTTTTTATGTCAGAAGTAATCCTTGTCCAGTGACATGTCTGAGTTGTATGTGTGAATATGCTATATGAAGGACACATGTTAACTATGAAACTTCATAGAATGATGGTTTTATGTAATTTTCTTTATTCAAATTGTAACAGATTATTTTATGTAACTAATGGGTAGAAAACTTTTGGTATAAGAATTTCTTGCTATCATTGAATTCTTTATCATATGATTTTATATACACAATGAATTAAGATTTAGATTTTTTGAATAAGGTTTCCTTGAAGAATATTGGTATGTAATGGGTAAAGTTTAACAAGCAAGGAATTGTTTTATGATAAGCTTCACCCTTGAAGTTGCCATTAATTAATGTATAAAAATAGCAAGGCCTAGTGGTTAGGGTGCTCAACTTGCAATCTGTGGGATTTTTAATTCACCATTACTGAACATGCTTTCCCTTTAGAGATGCTGTCAGGACCAGCCATCCGAGTATAAAAAAATCCTGTGAAAAAGATTGTGAATTTGCTGATGTTTTGCAGTGAATCAAATAATATAAAGTTTACTGTTTAGATCTTTCTAAATTATTGTCTTTTATAACATAGTGATTTTAAGGACTGTGGACATTTCTCCAACCATCCTGAAAATAAGAAAAAAAAAGAGGTTGGCTAAAGAAGGAGCTGATGTAGAGCCAATTTGATCATAAAGATTACAATTAAACAAGAAAATAAATTCTTTGGTAGCAAAATTCATTGATTTCAAAAAATTTGGAACGTAATTTATTTAGATTTTATTTTTGTGAATTCATTCAGCACTTTGATATACTGTTTTCTTCCAAAAAAAAGATAAAATTCATTATCATGACTATTACAGCAAACTTAATTATTAAAATTGAAATTTTGAATTGTGTTAGAAAATTCAAAACTGTCTTTCAAAATATATTCCTTAGTATAGTATTTCAAAAAATTAACCTGATATTGCACGATTGAAAATTCTACACTGTAGGTCTTATTGAACATTCTTCCTATGGAAAACCATAAGAATTCCCCAGTGAGTTAATGACTTATCTTATTATTCCATTCACTTTGAACATCAACTCGGTTACTAACTTTCCTTTTATAACTATGGAAGCACATACTTGTGATAACAACTTTGATTTTATCATTAAAAAACCACTTACAACCTTGTACGTCATCTATACAAGTTATCCAACAATATTCTACAAAAGATCTTGATTCATTGTTGATGTAAATTCTTTCATAAAGAATCAAGATATTCTTATGTAAGATTGTTGACTCCTAATGTGCAGGAGATAGAAGAAAGTTTCTTTACTGATGCAACAAGAGGTCTTCTGACCATATGCTGTTGTATTGATTCTCCAGCTTTTGGTTTTAGCAGCTACTCCATACAGTACTTTCTTTTACAGAGTCTCATTCCCCTGAATGTAGATGAAGACCTTCTGTGGTTGTTATTTTCACCTTACTAATGCAGAGAAGGTTGATATCCTGCAAGTAGAGTTGTACCTCATCTAATATGGGGACTTCTCTTGTAAGTTTTCCAATTTCTTTGTGTGGCTTTATCCTTGCATAGCCTGGCACATACATCTAGGTGATGGTCTTACCAGGAAGTTGCTTTGCATTCTGCCATTGAGTCAGTTGCAAATGTTATGTTGTTCGCTCTAAATATTTGTAGTTCAGCAATCAAGAGGAGAGTTTGCTTTTCATCTTCATCCTTATGCTACCTATGGAAATCTCTACAAGATGATAAATGAACAACCATTTTTCTCACTACCTGTGGTGAAGGAACTTCCTGTGGTTCTTATGACAGATAACTGTCCACAGTAGTGTTTAAATAAGTGCTGTATAACCATCTCCCAGTATACACTCATATCACAGATCCTGGTGGCAACAGATGTTTATTCCACAAGAGAGCATCTGAATTCTGGTGGTAAGGAGAAGAATGAAAGAAGTTGCCTCACGGCTGTTGAGTAGACTGTAAGAGATGAAAGAAGTTGTCCCACAGCTGTTGAGTAGACTGTAAGAGATGAAAGAAGTTGCCCCACAGCTGTTGAGTAGACTGTAAGAGATGAAAGAAGTTGTCCCACAGCTGTTGAGTAGACTGTAAGAGATGAAAGAAGTTGCCTCACAGCTGTTGAGTAGACTGTAAGAGATGAAAGAAGTTGTCCCACAGCTGTTGAGTAGACTGTAAGAGATGAAAGAAGTTGCCCCACAGCTGTTGAGTAGACTGTAAGAGATGAAAGAAGTTGCCCCACAGATATTAAGTACACTGGAAGACAGAAAGAAGTTTCCCCCACAGCTGTTGAGTAGACTGTAAAAGATGAAAGAAGTTGCCCCACAGATATTAAGTACACTGAAAGACAGAAAGAAGTTGCCCCATAGCTGTTGAGTACACTGGAAGACAAAAAGAAGTTGCGCCACAGATATTAAGTACACTGGAAGACAGAAAGAAGTTGCCCCACAGATATTATGTAGACTGGAAGACAGAAAGAAGTTGCCCCACAGCTGTTGAGTACACTGGAAGACAAAAAGAAGTTGCCCCACAGATATTAAGTAGACTGGAAGACAGAAAGAAGTTGCCCCACAGCTGTTGAGTACACTGGAAGACAGAAAGAAGTTGCCCCACAGATATTAAGTACACTGGAAGACAGAAAGAAGTTGCCCCACAGATATTAAGTAGACTGGAAGACTGAAAAAAGTTGCCCTACAGTTGTTAAGTAGACTGTAAGAATGAAACAAGGTGCCCTACATCATATGTTGAAACACTAATAACCCTATAAACAAAAACGAAAATTAGGACATTTTTTTGTGACCATATGATGAGTATTTGATGTTAGAATTAACATATTTAAAACAGGTAGCGAATGATAGAGGGTATCAACCTTAAATCATAGATAGGATGTACAGCAAATATTGTAATAAACTTCAAATTTTTGGATGTACTAAATTGCAGATAAAAAAAATGACCCCATTGTTATTCTTGGGTCTTTCTTCCTTCTGTTGGGTGAGCTTGGCAATCTCAATTTGTGCTCTTATTCTCTCTATTTCCTGTCTCTCTCCTATCTCTTCTTTTCTTCTATTACAAATTGTGATCTTATTATCAGTGGGAGTATCGCTTCTTTTCATGAAGAAGGTGGTATGGGTCATTCAGCAGGAGGCTTCTAGACAATGGTCCCTAATAGAAAAGTCTTACCACTTGTCATGATCCTTTTAGACAATTCCACAGTTGTGTGTTATATCAGTCACCAAGGGGCCCACACACTGTGGATTCATCTCTTTGTATGTCACATTATGGATGCTTTCAACCTCATAGCGGATTAATTTTCAAGACCCAACAAGGGTTAGCCCACAGAGTGGTCTCTCGACACTCAGGTTTTCAGGTGGCTATGCAATTGGTGGGATGCTCATCATCTGGACGATTTAGCCACTTTCCTCAACACCAAGTTACCTGTTTTTTGGTCTCTGGTTCATCATCCTCAGAGACTGGCTGTAGATGCTTTCAATCAGGACTGAACCAATTGGTACTTTTATGTTTACCCTCCCATCCAACTTTTTCTCAGGGTGATTTGAGTTATCCATGCCATGCATATGAGGTCCTTCTGATTGCTCTTTACTGGCAGGTGAAACCTTCATTTCGTCATTTCATTCAGCTTCAATCTATACCCCATTGCCTCTTCCGCTATTGCTTTTCGAGTCAGGGTTTTTCCCTTTATCAGCCCATGGTTTCTCTTATTATGGATGTTTCATCATGGGGCTCCTGTGTCGTCTATAGCTGGTTATCAAACTATCCTATCCATCATCTTCTGTTTTTACCAGTACTGTTTGATGTTTTCCTCTCCTACCATCTCTCTTTTGTTGCATTCCTCCTGGATATGTAGACAGTTTATCTGGCTTGGAATGTCAGTCTTGTTCTTCACCACTTCACACTTTCTCTGTTTGAACCTTTATCCTCATGTGCCTTGTTTCACTTATCCCTTAAGACTTGTTTTCTACTCCTTTTAGCCTGTGGGCATCGTCAGTCTGATATATTTGCCAGTGATGTTTTACATACTCTCTTTTATGTATGTTCTCTTTTATCTCAATTGATCTTTCCTACAAACAACTTAAGTAGTTAGCGAGGGACATTCTTCCTTCTCACCAATTTCACTCCCATCCATTTTCCACCTTTATTCCTGGGCTAATCCAGTTTTACTTCTTTGTCCTGTACATGCTCTTTGGTGTTACATTGCCTGCACGGCCTCCTTCTGTGGTTCTTGTTCCCACCTTTTCATCTCCTTTCATCTCGTGGATCTACTTCCATGCAGTCAGTCCTGGAGGTTGATGCTGCATTCCAGCTTTTGTGCAGTCCTATCCAGATGACAATGTTGCTTTGGAGAAGATCCATCACATTGCAGTTCACCCCTTCAGTTGGGATCCCTCATCCTACCATTACCTGGATGTTGGTTCCCAGTGAGTGGTTTTGGATTAAAGCTGGCCCAATCACCATAAATCTTCAAACATGGGTTGGTTGTGTTTTCTCATCCTAACTCAATTTAATTGTTTTGTCTCATCATCTCCACCTTCATATGGTAGGTCCTGGAGGCTGATGTTACATGACCATGCACTCTGGCTTCTGTGCCGTCTTATCCGGAGGATGATTATGTTTGGGATGAAGGTTCTCTTTTTAGTGCTCCACTTCAGAGAGTTTTCACTACTCGAGGTCCCTCCACCTATTCAATGTGGGTTTCTAGCTATACATGTGAAAGAAGGTAAGGTACCGTATCAGAAGTTAATATTTTCCTATACTGAAAATATATTTCCGATAGGTACTTACCCACTAAAAACTGGTGCTTTCTTTTCTGCCTAATCTTTAAGTGATAGTTTGGTAGAATCGAATAGAGGGAGTCACGTGCTCCAGGAGAATGTGTCGCACTCCTAATGGTGGAGGGTTGTCGCATGATTGTTTACATGCGAGATGCAGTGAACCACATTGATCATGGAGTACATGGGAGTTGATATTGAGGGCAGCACTGAACAAGACTAGCTATACATATGGGAGGAGGTGTCTATTGGAAATAAGTTTTCAGTATAGGAAAACAATAACCTTTTTTTTTTATCTTAACTCTCTCAGTGTGGTATTCTTGTTTTCAGTATTTCAAAGTTAAGTCTATATTTTTATGATTAAAATGAATTGCAAACAGGAACTTACTTCTGAAATATTTTCCTACAACTGGATGAGATGTGGTTTTTCATCACAACTGCAACTTAGAATTCTGAATTATGGTGGAAAAGCCAGAGCTTATTTATGTAAAGTCTCCCGATGCATGTGCAAACAATATGTCACATATAACTATAGGTAAAAGATGCAGGCTCTGCATTGCATCAAGAACATCAGGACTTTGAGTCACATATTTGATGACAGCACAAAAATAAACTTAACAAGGAAAGGCTTTCAGTATTTCAGACTGGTCTAAAAAATTGAATGTATTTGGTCAGCTATCAGAATCAGTAATGATCCTCTTGAATTAGCATTGCTAATCTTGGTACCATGTTTTTCTCACTGTGATGCCTGATTGTTCAAGCTAAACTTTCATGTGCTATTTTAACTCCACAGTGATTTTCCTTCTTGATCATATTGTTAAAGAGTAACTTACTAGTAACAACACAAATGTAGATACAGATTTTAAAAAATGTTTATTTCCCAGAGATGTATTTTTACATTTCTGACTTACGATCAAAGTTTATAAAATATTTCTATGTATTCCAGAGTCATTAGTGCCATACGTATAAGAATTCTAATATCACCAACAGAATATTTTTAGCACATCCATGGGGTGTCTTTACACTACAATTTGTTGAATATTAAAAGTGAGTTCAATCCAGAATCTCCCAAAGAGAATGATTTTGGGCATATTCTTTCAAGACAAGTTTTTGTTTGCTAATTGATAAATATTTAAGTGAAATACAGCACCCTCAAGTCTCTATGTTAGCTAGTACTAAGGTTTACCCCACTGGGAGTAAATTTAGTATATATAAATAAAACCACATTCTCAGCATAATTAATTAAGCAATTGTCAACCTTTTATGCTTCTGCTATTACCTTTTTTATATTTCGCTCTCAACTGTGATATGAATGATTTCACCTGCGATTTGGTAGGGAAGGTTGAAGCATCATGATAGTCACCAGTACGATGAGCAGATAGGAACACTTTGAAAGCAGCTACGGGCTTATTGGGAAACTATACAAGTTTTCATATCAGTTTATAATACTTGTTATTGGGAAACTATACAAGTTTATATATCAGTTGATAATACTTGTTATTGGGAAACTATACAAGTTTTCATATCAGTTTATAATACTTGTTATTGGGAAACCATACAAGTTTTCATATCAGTTTATAATACTTGTTATTGGGAAACCATACAAGTTTTCATATCAGTTTATAATACTTGTTATTGGGAAACTATACAAGTTTTATATCAGTTTATAATACTTGTTATTGGGAAACTATACAAGTTTTCATATCAGTTTATAATACTTGTTATTGAGAAACTATACAAGTTTTCATATAATTTTATAATACTTGTTATTGAGAAACTATACAAGTTTTCATATCAATTTATAATACTTCTTATTGGGAAACCATACAAGTTTTCATATCATTTTATAATACTTGTTATTAAGAAAATATACAAGTTTTCATATCAGTTTATAATACTTGTTATTGGGAAACCATACAAGTTTTCATATCAGTTTATAATACTTGTTATTGGGAAACCATACAAGTTTTCATATCAGTTTATAATACTTGTTATTGGGAAACCATACAAGTTTTCATATCAGTTTATAATACTTGTTATTGGGAAACCAT